GGGGAAGGGAGAGGGAGGCGGGGGAGAAGGGAGGGGGGGTGCACTGATACCACGTTTTCACAGCCAAGAACAATTTGGAGGTGAAGTTAAAACTCCAATCTGTCTTTAACTGATCACTAGAGGCAACCAGGATGGAGGACAAAAACCTCCTTCGTGAAGGAGAGTTAGCGTCCTTAGCTTCAATATTTGGTATATCACTAGTTGCTCACGGTATCAGATTGTAAGATGGGACAAGTCTCTGTTTCTGTCCAGTCTCAGTGCATTCCTAGCTAAAAAAAAAAAAAGGGGGGGGGTTAAACTCTTCTTAATCCCTGCGCGACCCGTCCTCATGTCAATGTGCACTTCGCTGGCAGCAGCCATGCAACAACAAATCAAAAAAAAAAAACTGAACAAAATCAGATGGATCAGCCCTTGGAAAACTCCTCACACTCCTCGCACGCTGACACTAACACAGCCCTTTGCTAGTCTGTGAAAGATAGCAGTTGATCAGCTCGTCTAAGGGTATTTAAGAGTCGACGGATTGATTGATTGGTTGGTTGGTTGATTGATTGATTGATTGACTGTCCGGCTGTTCGCTCGCACCAACTCAGAGAAAGCCGAGCCAACCATAGTGAAGATGCCACAAAGTAGGACACTAACACTGGCTCTCTTTTTTTTGTTTTTTTTTCTCTTCTATATTGCTCCATTGCCAGTATCTGCCTCACTGGGCGTACGCAGCAGAGAGGCACTCAAAGATCTGGGGCCTCATTTATCAAACCAAGCACAGAACAAGTTCTAAATGTGTGCGTAGGAAGCGTCTGTACGGACGAGAAAATTGGTTCTGCTTGTGCACATACAAGCTCATTTACATGCAGACAAAAGGCCGTCCTAGTAGCCTCAATGCAGAGTTACTGTTTGTGGTATAAACCGAGAAAGTTAGAGACAAAAAAAAAAAAAAAACATAGGTCATAAGACATAAGTTCCTGCATTGTTGCTGGTCTTATTTTACGCTAGAAGTTCTAAGTTTCAGGAGTGTTTGCTTTCAAGAGTATCGTGCCTAGGCTTGTGCCAACCGGCGATGACATCGACTATCGCAACTTGAAGAGACGACCACTGATTGTTTTTTTTTCCCTGCCGATATTAAGGAACATAACTGTCGTAGAAAATGAACTCTCCTCTCCCTGCTGTGCATTTACAGGAGATGTTTCTGGTGGAGTGGCATGTCTCTGCGCTGTGATGATAATCACTGTTCATCAGCTCAAGTGCTCCATAATTTAAAGCAACCAGGTTCAGTGCGGTGCAATCCCTCCACTGTCTGTGATCACATGTACTGTACTTGTAACGCAGCCGAGCTCATGATATAGTCGTTCTGATTCACAGATGTTTCTGTTTCTGTTTTCAGACGTCGGAAGTGGTGTGAGATTTGATCACGGCTCATGAATACGAACCTTAACAAGCAGTCATTACCAAGCTGTATGATTACAACTTTATCTGAAGAAATGAACAAAAATACAAGTTAATGTCGGCCGCGGTGCTGTGAGGTACAGCTCTATTTAAAATGAGTGATCACAGAGAAAGTTAGATAAAGAGGCATTAAAGACAGAGTGGAAGTCCTGATCCTGTGTCAGTTCATCATTTATCTCTTGTTACATGCTAAAGATGTGTCAAAACATTTCCTTTTCGTTTATTTTCCTCTATTAACGTAAAAATATGTTTAATGACCAATGTGCAGTGACAAACACTTATGATCGTAGCTTATGGGTAGCTAGCAGAGCAAAAGCCTAGCAGGAGTGTGTACGTGTTTGGATTTCAGCTGGAAAAACTACATTTTCAAAGATGTAACAACGTAGGTGAAGGATTTAAATCCTGTAACTAAGCTGAACTTGAGCTAAAGACTGACTAATTTCCGTTTTACTGACTTGAACGGCATAATTTCACTCTCAAAGATTTCATTTCTTTCAAAATAAGAATCTTAAAAGCACAGCCTTCAGGGCTAACAGTTACAGTGATTGGTTTACGTGTTTGTAGTTTAGTTCCTTCACAATTACACCTGTGTACCACTGGCGTTTCGTCGGTACACGTGGTCGGGGAGGGGTTCTAAAAGTACACACATTCTTAAGCACGAGAAGAAATTGATGAATCGGATTCTGTGCATAGAAACGAGCGTATGCGCGGTTGATAAATGAGGTCCTTGGTGTTTTGGCATCATGCGACTATTCTCTAGTGTCCCTGGGTTGTCCCTGCAGTCTCGTGTACGACAACTCTAAATACTCTCTGTGGCGCTAACACGAGCCACTGGGCTGCCTATCTGCAACACCGACACTACCGTATGAGGTAAACTGAACACTTTAGCAACCAGAGAACACCCCTTCCTGTTCAGGAGCTCAGCATCGACTCCTGCAACACCCCGCAATCTGAACCGTCACTACCTTTGCCACTTCATCCCTCCTAACTTGCTCAATGGCCCAACAAGTTAGAAGAGAAAGTGGGCCACTCTCAGAGCACTTATGGTCCTAAAACATATAGGCATGTACTGTCGTGAGGGGTCGGGAAAAAGAAACATCTAGTGGGACAAAATACAAGCTGAACATTATAGTATAGAAGAATCACAAACAGTTTGTTTTCAGAGAAACAAGACCCACGAGTGATGGATGAGCTGGTCCTGGCAGGCCCTCGAGCAACATCACACCGAAGGGAGTGAGAAGACGCCTCGGAGGTGATGGAGAGCAGGAAGTGGAACACAGTTGATATGTCAAAACATTCTGGCACCTGAAAAAAATGCAGCAAAAAATCTAAAGGTAACGATGAGCGAGAGAGCGCACACTTCACCAATGTCCGTTGTTATCCTCTGACGTGCCATCCATACACACTCCGGAAAAACGTCGGGACGGGAAGGGAGTGATGGGGGAGGGAGGGAAGGTAGGGAGAGGAGAGGACAGGAGAGGAGAGGAGAGGAGAGGAGAGGAGGGACAATATGCTAGAAAACATTTGGATGGAATAGAAACAATGAGCAGGTTTCAAGTGGCAAGAGGTCAGTTCTTTATGGGGGTGGTTCTCAAACATCTCGGTTCGGTCAATGTCCAATCCCAGCACCCTTAGCTCCAGTTAAAACCCTCCCACTTCCTGTGGTTGATGGTTCATCTGCGGAAGATTGTAGAGGCATTTCCAGCACGTCTCGCCAGATGTGTCCCTGGCAGCCATGACATTGTAAAAGCCGTAATCCTCTCGGGCGACATCACTCTTTACAAGCACCAGATTCAACCCCAAGGTTCACTCCTCATTAGAAGCACTCTCCTCTGGCGAGAAAATGGCAGCCACGCCCACCAACGTAGAATTATGGGAGGCTGAAATGATGATGACAGTGTGTAGGAGGACGAGGGCCAGCAGGCAGATCTTCAGTCGCCCGCTGCACAGTCTCGGGGTGGCAGCGGAGGTGACCGAGGCCCCCTCGGGCTGGCAGGAAGAAGCAGTCCTTTTTAGTGTCCCGCCTGAAGGGCTGTCCATTTTGGAGTCCCATCGGACGTCGCAGCACTCCGCCTCACTGTCTGATAGATGATCCGCCAAGAGCCCTGAGAAAGAGATGACACAGGAGAAGAATGCTGACTTTTTCCCCGCTGTACAGTATCTATTACTAACCAGAGTTAATGTGATTTGGTCTGCAGACAGCTGATAACCAATAAAGAATATTTCTAAATGAAGTTACCAATAACCAATAAATCATGCTCGTATTCTCTAGCTTTAATTACAGTGCAACTGCAGCTGCCAGCTTTTAAATCACGCAACATTAAAGTCAGACTATGTAACTTCTGATAAACAGCAACCACTGACAATTACAATTATAGGATAATGGTGAACAGTTGAAAAGAGTATTCAAACCAGCATAATGATACAGTGGCGTCTGTTCTGCAGGAATATCTGTCCGTAGTTTGCTCACATTAGGGCTGTGTATCGGCAAGAATCTGGCAATACAATACATGTCACGATACTGTGGTTACAATTCAATATACTAACAGTGGGATCACAAAACAATACAATATTTTCTTTCACCCCAAGCTCACATTAGCTAACATTAGCCACCAAACTGATACAGAGTAGGTACAATCTAATACAACCCGTCTCCAGGAGAAATTATAGGACTAAGTGGAAGTAGGGCGTCTGAATGAAGCCTGAAAAACTGCTCCAGTTCAGTTAAAAACAGCATCTGTTAATAACAATCAAATTTGCATTGAATAGTTTAATTGTAGCACAGTGAAGGTTATCTCATCAACAATGAGCGTCCTTTTGAACATCCTTCAGCGCTGTAGACGGATCAAGCCCACGAGACCTCAGTCTGTAGCTGTGATCATGACGCTGGAGGACCAGACACAGTGACCCTCAGCTGAACTCAAATTAAAGCCACGACCACACAGAGGTTGACGCATCTCTGCATCAGTTGATGACTCTGGAAGTCTTAACTTGCCAGAGTGCAAAAAAGGAGCTGTCACCGCCCTCATCTGCACGGGAAACCTCGCTTACTTCTCACCGAACGGAAGGTAGCAGTTGAAGGATGATGAGAGCAGATCTGACACGGCTAAAGTTTGTTTCTACACGAAAGACATCAGTAAAAAAGGTTGAATATTATATTCCACTTTTTAAAAAAAGTTCGACTCTGTGTGACATTTTCTTTGTGATTGATTGATTTACACCTGCAACCCCCCAATATTTTTAATTTAATTTTTAATATACTTTATTTCATCAGTCCCATTATTGTTCTACTTATTACAGAAGTAGAAAAGGAAAGTTCTAAATTAATAGAAAAAAGTAAAATAATGAATATTCCAGTCGCGCTGATGGATGAAAAAAATAAATAAATAAAAGGGTGAATTATGGGCCAGATTTAAATGATTTATTTAACTTTATAAAAACCTTTTGCTAAGATGCAGACTTAAATGAAACAGGAAATCACATTAACATTTAAAGGTCCAGGAGGATCTATTGGCAGAAATGTAATATAATATTCCTAAATATGTTTTCATTAGTGTAGTGATAACAATAATTATTGTGTTTTTGTTACCTTAGAATGAGACGTTTTTTATCTAGGGAGAGAGCAGGACCTCTTCTGTGGAGTCTGCCATGTTTCTAC